TATGGTAATTTTTTATTTAAATACATCTTTATTTTAAGTTTTTATTAACTAATTTTATGTAATTTTTTATTTTTTTCTTCTTTTTCTCTTATTTGAATTCATTATGTATTTTCTTGTATTTGATTTTTAATTTTTTTTCTTTAAATATGTTTGGTTTTATTCCATTCTACTTCTAAGTCATTATTTTTGATTCTAATTTTTATTATATTTTTTTGACTTGCTCTCTTTATTTTATTTTAACTTATTTATTAATTTTATTTATTTTTAGTTTTGTTATTTATTTTAAATTTATAAAATGTTAATATATTTGATTTTTTACTCTGTTTCATATTTGTTTTCTTTTTATATTTTTTTTTTTTTTTAATTTTCTAATTTGTGTAGATTTATTTCATTGTGTTTCAGCTTGTTTTATTTTAATCAATTTTACACTTTATTTAATAAATTATATTTTCTTTTATTTCATTATAGTTTCGTACTTTCTTATTTTATTTTATTTTTTTTAAGTTACTTTATTTTATTTTATTTAATCTTATTATTTTGAATTAAGTATTTCCCTTTTTAGGTTTATTTTAATTTATTCAATTAAAAGATGTTCATATCCTGACTAATTTTTTCTCTATGACTTTATATATATATATTTTTTTTTTAATAATTTTCTTATTTATTTTGTATAGCTTATTAATTTTATTTTTTTAATTTAATTTATTTTTTGATTTGTTTAGTTCGATTTGCCTGTAATTTACTTTAACCTTATTTTAACATTCAAGTCTTTTATTTTTCAATATTGTTTTATCATTTCATTCAAAATTTTTATTAGTTCATTTCAAACTTTTATTAGTTCATTTAGTTTTACTATATTTTGCTCCAATTTGCTTTGCTTTATTTTTCCCTTTCTTATATAACTTTTATAGTCATCTGTTTTTTTTTATTAATTATATTTTTTTCAATTTTTTTATTTTATTTTACTTTATATAAATAAATGTTATTGTTCTTTAACCCCTTTATATTGAATTATTATGATTTTATTTTACTATTTTAGTTTTATATTCTAATATTTTGTCTTTCTTTCTTAAAGAATATTTCAAAAACTTTTTATAGTATTTTCAGCAATGCATTTCTTAAAAAAAAAGTTTTTGACGATCTCATTAACCTCTCAAAATTTTTTTTTAGCTCCGCAAAAAGCCTTGTAAAAAATAAATAAATTACACCGCAATTTAACTCATTATAAACAATTGCAAAATGCAGCCAACAACCAATGCAATGAGGTTGGACTCAGAGCGCATCCTGTGCATAGCAATTAGTGCTTCGGCAATGCAACTTTCATTCTCTTAATAAGAGTTGTTCCCCAGTTGCCTTTCACTAACCACCTGATGGTATTTTATGCTGCCGCAGTCGCCACTTGCCACATACACACAGATGCCACACATATCCACACACTCTCTGACTCTTTTTATTTTCCTTGTTTCATTATAGCGAACGAAACCGAGTGTTGAAGGCGAGGACAATCATGTAGTATTTTCTTTTTCCTCTCAACTTCGCTACTTAAGCGAGCTTTCTCAGCAAATCCACTTAGTTGCGCGGTTGGCGATTGCGCTGCATCGGTCTCAAGTTTTTGCAAATCGTTCAGTTTGTTGCAACTACTTTTATGTAGTTGCTTTTCGTTGTTGTTATGCGCTACTTCTACATTGAGGTGACAGTTTTTCTTCTATTGAATGTATATATGTATATGCTTATGTATGTGTGTGTGTGTGTTTTAGCTTCACTTAATTTTTCTTCTTCTAGCCTTTCTTTCAATTTTTCGTTTCATTTTATTTCACTACTTAGTTTGCTTGCTTTCTGGCTTTCTGGCTTTCAAGTGTATAAGTGCTCGCGACTTTATTAGTGTCATTAAGAAATAGTGTATGCGCGCCTTTCTCTTTACGCCAATAAACGTTCCGAAGGCGTTCAGTGAATGCAGCCACCTGAAGCTTTTCAGCCCTTCAGCTCTTTAGTTCGTCTTCAAAGTATCACTTGGCGTATAGTTGTTGCCGGTGAATAGAGTTTTAGTGTTGGTTGCCTCTGTGTCTGCTACTTGTTGCAAGTAAATTGTTGATATTCGCGTTACCGTGTTACCCTCAATTCATTGCCTGTTTGTCGACCGCGGTGAGATGAGGCGCCACCTCTGGTGGCTGACAAATTAAAAAGAGGAAAAGAAGAGAGGAAAGTGCCTTTGCCTTGTTGGCAGTAGCTTTCGGGCAGTCAGCATGCGAAGGAGATATTTTAATTACTATACCGTTGCACCGAATTGGTTGTTGGTTTACCGCTGTGGAATCTCATGTGGCGGTTTGAATGTACAGTGACAGAAAATTTGAAAAAAAAAAAAATTAATTAAAAATATTGCAGTTTATTTACTTTTATTTTTCTATTTTGTTTCAAATAAATTTATATTAAAAAGTACGAAATATGTTCTTTTATAGACACAATTAAGTAATATGCTTATTTTCGCACCACGACTCTATGAACCTATCCTAAAAATTCCTAAATGATAATAAAAGTTCCATGGATTTGTAGGCGATGAGAATTGTAGATTTGAACCGAGTATCCTCAGTACGAATTCGGACTAATTTTCATTTCCAAAAATTTGTACTAAAAAGGTTAATAAAATAAATAGATTCTCTACAGAACCTTGAGGACACTTAAAAATTTGTTACGAAAAAATTGCGTTTAAAAATTGTTTTGAAAAAAGTGGAATACAAATTTTTCAACAATTTTGAACGGTAATTCCGGTTAATGAAGGAACGTCACATCATGACATGGCTCTCGGGGGGCTGCCTTGTATTATCCCATTCCGTCGAGCCAATTTTTCAAATTATTTCAACATTTTTGATTGTGTCGACCTCTAAGGCTGGCGCGATATCGTATTTTGTGTCATGAATTGTATCTAGATATTTGGCCCAGCGTTTATACGTAACAGTTCTCCACAGAAAAGAGTTCAATGGTGTCATGTCGCAAATGTAAGGCGGTCATGCGAACATGGTTTGAAAAAGGATGAATACACAAAGGGGGTAACCGCTGCTGCATCGTAGGCCAGCGAACCGGTACAAAAGATCTTCAAACCAGGTAGAATTTGGCAAAGAATCATCCAATATGAGCTGATCCTTTACGGCGAAACTCTTAATTTGGGCCCGTACTGTAAGCATATAAACCGTCTGAAGGACAGTAAACCAGAAGCGCCTAGTTTTGGCAAACAGGAGGAGAATTGTGTTTCGTCAAGGCGATGTATCTTGCATCCCCTTTTGCAGTGCGGACCTCTTTCCAAGGGATTACAGTCTGTTCTTGTATATGATTGGATTTAAAAGAAGCTAGAAAAATCGAGTGTCCCAATCTTTTTTTGTCAATAGGGACAAGGGTTGCTAAGAGGGAGGCATTACTTTTAAAATAGCAAAAATATATCGAGCGAAACGGTGTACATAATTGGTTTGATGCAAAAATAATGGATGATCTCTTACTTGACCGAATATTTAATTTGTTTTTTTAGTGGGAGGTCATTTTAAAAATTTGGAAATAAATTAAATAAATTTTGTTGAACTCTTAGATTGAAATTTATATTTTGTCAATGCTCTTTTGATACTTTTTTATTCTTCTTTGCTTAAAAAATATACGTTAATTGTGTTTAAATATATGTATATGTACTTTGTTGGGCAATAACCCATATTTTGCGAATTTCTATAGATACTTTTTTTTGGGATTTTATACTAGACTAAAACATATGTTTTTTTATGAAACCGATTTTTTTTTTTTATTTATTAAGTAATTTCACACTTTATATTATATATTGTAAATAATATGTGAAGTATTTCTGGTAATAATTCTTTTGTCTGTTTTAAAGGGGTTTTTTGTTAACAAGAAAAATTTCCTTCTCCAGAAAACTTGGAATTCGCGCGTTTGAATTAATTTTTTTTTTCGTAGTTCAATCTAAAACGATAAAAGCATGTATTTTAAGTTAAGAACATATTGGACTCCGTTAAGAAAAGCTTTCTATGTTTTATTTTAGCTAAATACTTAAATCATATTTTTCTTTTTTAATTCGATTTCTTCTTCTTAAATTAAATTTTTTTTCTGTTCTTTTTTTTTGATTTTAATTTTTTCTAAATAAATTTATTTTCATTTTGTTTTGTTTGATTTTTATTTATTATTAGGTTTTATTCTTTTTAAATACAATTTTAGTTTCATAATTTTCCAGTCAACTAAAGTTGCAGAAATATATATGCATATGTTATCCGATTTTTTAAGCTCGAGTACAGATATTACATTTTCCCTCAAGGGTTTGGTTTTTTTTTTTCATTTTAATTCAATTATATATTTTCATCACTGTAGCTTTACTCGCGCCTGTTCGTTTCTAACCAACTGTCCAATTATTATTTTTCTATGTTTTTTCTCTTTCTCTCTTTAACCCATTGTATTATTTTATTATCCTTTTATATACTCATTAATTCCTTTGTAGGCGACGACTCTACTTTTAATGTCCAATTAACTCGTAGCTGCTTAGCAATTCCTCTAACGGTTTATTTCTGTTTATTAACTGAGATTTTTACAGCTTTTCTTCTTCTCGGTATTAATTAAGTTTTTCTCACAGAAACATTTCGTGCATAATCACTGCGCTTCATTGACGCTGCTGCTGCGTGTCCTTTCATAAATAAATTTTCCTTCATTTTCTCGCCTAATCATCGAATGACGAATTCCTGTGCAATGCTTGTTCGACCAATAACAAAATCAGTCAAGCAGCAAGCGCTTTTACGTGTTGTTCTAGCTAAAAATACCAAGTAATTTGTCTTGTACGCCATGAATTCCGACACGTTTTATTCCTACGCTTATTTGCTTGGGGGTTAAACAAAATATATAAAAAAATTCAATTACAACTTTTTGATTATTATCTATTATTATATGTGAAATCATATACAAATTCATGTTTATTAATATTTTCTTCTTCTTCATTCGCTTCTCCTCTCATTACTTTGCAGATTTCCCCCGCGTTGATGTCGGTCCGGAAAATCCACTTCGTGTTGAACGTGATCGTACTGCCAAATTGGAGTGTAATGTCGATGCGAAACCCAAAGTGCCTAATGTACGTTGGACACGCGATGGTCGCTTCATTAGTTCCTCCCTTGTGTATACGATAAATCGTGTGAGCGCACAGGATGCTGGCAAATATACATGCTCAGCAGATAATGGTCTCGGCAAGTCGGGTGAGAGTGTGCTCATATTGGATATTCTCTATCCACCAACCGTCGTTATTGAGTCGAAAACGCGTGAGGCTGAGGAAGGCGAGACGGTTAATATCCGTTGCAATGTGACCTCAAATCCGGCGCCCATCACAATTGAATGGTTGAAGGAGGGCTCACCCGAATTTCGTTACTCCGGCGAAGTGCTCACCCTATCCTCGGTACGTGCAGAGCATGCAGGCAATTATATTTGTCGTGCTGTGAATTTGATGGAATCTTACGGTCAGGAGCGTAGTGAACGTGTTGGTAATTCGACTGTTGCATTGCTAGTACGCCATCGACCCGGTCAGGCATTTATAACGCCCAACAAACCGATTGTACATGTTGGTAATGGTGTTACGCTCACCTGCTCGGCCAATCCGCCCGGTTGGCCGGTTCCGCAATACCGTTGGTTCCGTGATATGGATGGCGAATACTCGAGCACGCAAAAGATATTAGCACAAGGGCCACAGTACTCGATACCGAAAGCACATCTGGGCAATGAGGGTAAATACCATTGTCACGCCGTCAACGAGTTGGGTAATGGGCAGATAGCGACAATTGTGCTTGAGATACACCAGCCGCCACAATTTCTCGCCAAATTGCAACAGCACATGACGAGACGTGTTGCCGATACCGATTATGCTGTGACTTGCAGTGCTAAGGGCAAACCCGCGCCCAGCATACGCTGGTTGAAAGATGGTGTTGAGATACTGCCCGAGCTCAATCTGTATGAGGTTAAAACGAACCCAGATCAGGGTCCGAATGGCATGGTTACCGTGCAGAGCATGCTAAAGTTCCGTGGTAAAGCACGTCCTAATGGAAATCAGCTCGTACCCGGCGATCGGGGCTTGTACACATGTCTCTACGAAAATGAGGTGAATTCGGCCAACTCGAGCATGCAACTGCGTATTGAGCACGAACCCATTGTACTACATCAGTACAACAAGGTCGCCTTTGACATACGCGAGACCGCGGAGGTCGTTTGTAAAGTGCAAGCCTACCCTAAACCCGAATTTCAATGGCAATTCGGCAATAACCCTTCACCGCTAACTATGTCCTCCGATGGACACTATGAAATCAGCACCACCACCGACAACAATGACATATACACCTCCGTATTACGCATCAATTCGCTCACACACGCCGATTATGGCGAGTACACGTGTCGTGTCGTGAACTCGTTGGACACAATACGTGCACCCATACGCCTGCAACAGAAAGGACCACCTGAGAAGCCGACTAACACACGCGCCGTCGATGTCGGTCCGAATTATGTAACACTCAGCTGGGATCCCGGCTTCGATGGTGGCCTGAGCAACACCAAATTCTTTGTCAGCTACCGACGCGTGCCAATGCCACGCGAAGAGCAACTGATACCCGACTGTGCCACAATTGCCACAAGCAATACCGACTGGCTGGAATTCGATTGTCAACGTGAAAATCCCTGCAAGGTTACCGCACTGGATCAACATCAAAGCTATGCCTTCAAGGTGAACGCACTCAACACTAAAGGCAAATCGCCATACTCCAACGAGATAATGACCACCACCAAGGTGAGCAAAATCCCACCGCCACTGCACGTCACCTACGATCCGAACACGCACACACTGGGCATTAATGTGGGCGCCACATGTTTGTCGCTGGTCGCTATCGTCGAATCAATGGTCAACATGGACACACCGATGGCACAGTGGGAAGTTGTCGACACTGTGAATTTGCAACTATCCGGCAATGGACCGACATTCAAGGAGACTGTGATTGATCGCCAAATACCGGCATATCGCAGTGGCGGTGGACGTTCGCTGGGGCACAATCACATTGGCGGCGGTCATGGGGATGGCGGCCTGGGCGATAGTGATGATGACGACGATGATGAGAGTGTCGACATGAATACACTGGCGCTGGAGGATGATAATAAACCCACAGTACGTGTGAAACTATGCCTGCGGTCGAATCAGGAGCACTGTGGCAAGCATACAAATGCCGAAAGTAAGTATTAGGGGGAGGTAGTCGTACTTAGCGGAGATCTCATTTAGGGGTGCTATCTGCGTATTTGTGTGGTATGTAACGATTTATTGCTGAGCAGTGTGTATAACGAACGTGTGTCTCTTGTACATTTTTCATCAATTTTCAGAAATATTTTGTACATTTAGCGCAATGTCACTGTACGAACTCATTTCTGCCACTTGTTAACTCTTAAATATCACTTTGGCATTGTGGAATTTCCATTGAAAAATTGTGCGCAAACCAGCTTTCTGTCCAACGCAATGTCCGTTTGTTCATTTGTTCAGCCGTTCGGTTTATTAACTGCTATGTCCTTGCTGCTGGTGGCGCTATTGCTGGTGGTGTCCTTCAAATGCGTACACGATTAACAGTACATCAATCTACTTTACGAGAAAGCATATAACACGTAGAGGAGTGCAGACGGAAGGGTTCGTGGTTAGGCAGGGCAAGGCGGGGAAAGAGAGAGGGAGCGATCTCCCCAAGTGTGTCAAGGGCTCGCAAAACATACAAACGTAGGCGGCGAGTTTGCCAGGCGTCGCCACAATAACTACTTACATACATACATACCTTACGACATCTACCACTCCGCCCACTTTTTCCACTTTTCATGCAGAATTCCACATGCTTTCACATATAGTATGGACATTTGAGTGGGCGCTTTCAGCGCACTGACACATTTCGCGCGTACGTTGCCCACTTTCCATGCACTAGTTGCTCACTTTCAGACTTCCCAACACACCAAACTTTGAGTGCTGAGTAACAACAGTCAGTCGTTGTCTCTTTCCGAGCTTTGTGAATGCGCTGGGAAGTTAAATATCTAGGAGTTCCTTGTTCCTTTATCCACAAGCTCCTTTCGGGAAAGCGGTCCAAACACTTTGAGTGCTGAGTAACAACAGCCAGTCGTTGTCTCTTTCCGAGCTTTGTGAATGCGCTAGGAAGTTAAATATCTAGGAGTTCCTTGTTCCTTTATCCACAAGCTCCTTTCGGGAAAGCGGTCATGGTACTTGCAGTGTAACAGAGAAAGCTTTCTAGTGCACAGAGTAATGCCACATTTCACGGAGTTCTGAATATTTTTTCAGATAGTCAAAATGAAGCCTTCGTAAGGTCGCTGAAAGTTAGTTCTTTGGTATTCCGGAAGCACTCTTTTTAGCAGCTCTGCATAAAAATGAAACTATATCTCATTGGATTCCTAATTACTCGCTAATTGGGTTTCTTTGCCACCCAAGCAATCGCACACACATACACACTCTTTTTGTAAATGTCTGTACATATTTCTCACTACATTTGCTCGTTCTTTTCCATTCCAGTTGGCCGCACATACATCGCCGAAGCCTCAGCTCTCGCTACACCCACACTCATTGCCATAATCGTCTCATGCATTGTATTCGCATTATTTGTCGGTTTATTGTTGATGTTCTGTCGCTGTAAACGCAATCAATCGAAAAAGAGTGCTGCCGCTAAGGATTACGAAATGGACTCGGTACGCCCGTCGATCGTTGCTGCCCAACAAAGTCAGCCACCGCCGCCGTATTACCCGGCAAGTGGACTCGATAACAAAGCACTTGAACATTCGATGGATCTCGCCTTGGGTATGGAGGACCAAAAGAGTGCACTTTATGCAACCCAAAATGGCTATAGCTATCATCCGAGCAGTGGTGTCGGTGTGGGTGTTGGTGGTGGTGTTGGCGTTGGTGTTGGTGTCGGCGTTGGCGGTATGCAAGGATTGACGGGACATACATTGCCGGGAAATGAATGTGAGTTTGTTTAATATATATATGTATATACATTGTTGTATTTTTTATTATATAGTTGCTATTATTGTTGTTCGCTGTCCGTCCGCTAAATACAAGCAGGATTATTAACAAGTACATTCGCACACTTGCTGTGCTATTGTTCTCACCAGCATCATCATCAGCGTCATGTGCGCCATCATCATCGACATCGACAATGCCATAAAGTTTGCTGTTATGTTGTTGTTGTTGTTGTTGTTTCAAGTACCATATCAGTATTGGCAGCAACAGCAGTTGCGCCATTGGCTGAGTGTCTGAAATTGTACCGTTGTTGGCAATGAGTAGTTGGACGGAAGTTTTCCTGCTCTGCGGTTGGTGGTCAAGATTGAATCGGCCATGTGGCCAGAGTGTTGGAAACTTTTTTGATTGAAAAAAATTAGCTCACAACTAATTTTCGCATATGAATTGTATAGAGTAGCTCTCAGCTCTGAAGGTGAGTATTTTTTCGTGCTAAGGTTGCGGCTCTCGGATATGAAGTGAGGTTTTTTGAGATAAGCTTCAAGGTTAGCCCTTACTTAGGAAAGTAGATAGGAGAAATTTAGAGACTGTTGTTTTTCATATATAAATTTTATTGTTCCAGATTATGCCAAATATTCTCGTACACTAAAGGCAAATATAAAAATTACCGAAGCATAAAAAATTAAATTTTGCTTAAATCATTGTCTTCCCTAAGAGAAACACTTCAATGCGACTAATAGAATTATTAACAAATGTGCATAAATCAAGTATTCTTTGTTCTAAACAAATTTTTTAATGTGATCCACGTGATGTTGTTGTTGTTGAGGGCGGTTTAATTTATCGAGCTCATCTAACGGCGATCCCGTAAACGGACTGTTTACAGGAGGGATGGCTCTCCTGAAAATTTTAGATTCACTGATTTTTTTTAAACACAGATACAAAAATAAAATTAAATTACAAGCAAAAAAACTGTGTCAAACTGGAAATTCTGGCATTTCGGAACACCGTGATTTGATTCCTTGTAAAAAGCGTTGTACGGCGAAAGAAATTTTGAAAGAGATGTCAACGGTTCCTCAGGAATCTGCATTTTCATATAATATATGATGATGAAAAATGGACTCCGAACTTATCAGCCGCTTCTCATAAACAATACCAAAGACGGTATAACAATATGCGTAATCTAAAGAAAAATTCACATCGGTAACGTCGGTACTGTTGTCGATTGAAAAATCCTAAGAGCAATTAAAAAGCTGGACATCTCAGAATCTCTCTCTTGTGATTGCGCAGATATGCTCCTGGGCAGGTTTCTTATTATCAATTTGGGAGACTCAACGTTGAGTAGATTTGTCCTCAGAATAGTGTGCCCTCCTCTCTGATTTCTAAAGACAGTCGTGCATTTGTTTTAGAAACGAAGAGAGTACATGTAATGCTCCCTAATCTTATGTAAACAACACTACAATAATTAATCACCAGACCGTATCATGTGGGCATATGAGAGCATACAAAGAGCAGCTAACATACATATTTATCAGGGAAGTCAATTCACTTGCTAAACGTTTTACCACCACCACACACTTACTGCCCTTATACTTTTACATCTACTAACTGACCGCAATATAGGCACTCAGCCTAAGGGAATCAATTCCCATTAAGAGTGGAGTGAGATGAGGGTGAAGAGTGCCACAGAAACAGACTGATCCAGAGTGGAAGGTGGTGTCTGTACAGCAAAATTAGGTACCAGAATCGACCATTTCGGCGTATTCTAGTAGCTTATAATGCACAATGTTCCTCCAATTCCACTGCACCACACACAGCTTTACCAAGGTTTGGCGACAATTCAGGCGTAAAAACTGTTTGCGGAGCGTCACGGCCATTGGATTTTTACTTTTTGCTTTATAATTTTATAATAATTTTAACCATATTTCGTGGTCTGAATTGAAGTGAACATCGAACTTCTTTGAGTAGTCAGATATTTTTTTTTTAAATGATGCCAAACTGTCACGTGAGTGGTGTTCAATGCCTACACTTTCTCCTGGTTTCGCTCTACCATAAATTCAATTTCATCGGCTTTATGAATGGCCGGTCAACCAGAACGGTGTACAATTTTGACATCAAAACTTCAAGAATGGAATCGAAGAAACCATTCACCCCTTTTAACCCAATTTTACATACCTACCTAGCAATGAGAGCTTGATGCACTAAAATAGTGATAATAAAAATACCTTTGTAACTTAGTGTTAGCTATATTTCTAGATTTCTATGATCCCAATGGTATTTCGCTATATTATTAGCTTTAGATATTTTTTTTTTTTTTGTCTCTGCAACCCTATTTCTTTCTCAAACATCCTTTACACACTTTATCACATTGCGCTCACCTCTAAAATCACGCTACCATAAATCTTTTAATACACCAACTCAGCAAAAAAAAAAAAAATAATAATACGCAAAGATCTGGCAACTTTATTCCCATACGTCAACATCCAAACGTAAAACGGCTCAAAAACAAAAAAAGAAAAAATTCTCAGTACAATTTTCGGCAATTTTTCATTTGTTTGCTGACGCAATAGTTGAAAGTGCTGCCACAAAAGTGTGTACTCTTGCGCGAAGCCAGGGAAATGAAAAAGTGAAACATGCAATAGCAACACGCTTGCTTGGAAAAAGTAACTAAAAAGTAGGTTTTTGTAACAAAAAAAAAGAGGAACCAGCAACATCAGCGCAAAAAACGTAAAATGTTGGGAATATTAAGCGAGCGAGCAGGCGGATGAATGAGTGGGAGAGTTGCAGGGATAAGGAAGTAAGCGTGTGTTCAAAGGAAAAACAAATCGATGAGAACACATCGATCAAGTGCTTGTGATGGACACAAGCAAAAATAACTGTTTTTTGCAAAAAAAAAAAAAAAAAAAAAAAAAACAACAGTGCCATTCGTTCGGTCGAAGTGTATGTGTGTAATATACTAAAGGGCTCTGGGTCAAGTGCGGGTTATATAAAATGGTATAAAATTGTTCAATGTATTTATCATGATGTAGAGTTGGGCAAAGGACATTTTTGCATACATGTAAACATCGGCTTCACACGTTTTTAATTTTATTACAGTTTTTTTTCACTTTCTTCCTAGCCTATTTTTTGTAATTTTCGGGGGCGAGTAAGCCCGGCATAATCAGCGAGGAAGTATCGCTTGGGCGTAAATGTAATTGCGAAAAATGATTATCAGCAAAATTATCGCATTACCGGTAACTTCTGGTACTCACACCAGAAACATTACACAATCCACTACTTGCATACCTCAGCACCTGAGTGCCTCGCCTCGGCCACTTTTAATGCTAATGTATTTGTGTCCTTTGGCTTACCCTTCGGACGACTTCAAACTGCCACAGGCAGTTTGTGTGTGTAGCGGTATTTTGTTCCGCATTCCATTACCGAAATGACTCTGTTTTTGGCGTTTTGGTTTTGGAGTGGCGAGTCAATGAGCCACAAACACGCCACGCCACATCGCACCACATGTACACCGCAACGATTGTGCTGTGGTTTCGTTGAGCAGCGAGTCCGTTGCGGTCGCCAAATATACTCACGCACATACACACATATACACACACACACATACACATTCATACATACAGAAATACAAACTCACTGATATTTAATTTCGCCCATAAACATACTCATTTTTAATTGCCATGTGCCTGACCTGTGACCCACCGGACCGGACCAGTGTATTCGTATTCTGGTTTAGATCATATATGTGTATGTAGGTATGGTGGCACCTTAACTTTTTTATTTGCGCTTTGACAGCAATTTAGATAGGACATTAGCATTTTGTGTTAATGCATTTGGTGCTCCAGCACCGGCACCGGCACTATCATGATTACCATCTCAGGCCAAAGGTGCTTATTAAAACACTATTGCCTATTTTGCTACATATTTAGACCATCAAATGTGGCTCTGGGGTGCGTATAATTTGGTATAGTTTGCTTAAAGCGAAATTGAAACGATAATTTCTTTGACTGCATGCTTTAAATGGGTGAGACTGTAGAATGCTGAAGGATGTTGGTGAGGAAAAGAAAAAAATGGGAAACAATTTTTTGTAGAGTCTCGCTAACAGCTGTAGCAAGTATTCGCTTATAAGTTATACGTTTTCTTAATATTCCACTGCCCATAAGCTTCCAATCTTCAAGGGATTAACAAAAGTTTGGTCAGCGGACTTTCAAGTTGGTTTTGTTAAATTTAAAACTGCTTAATCCTTGCAAATTACTGTAATAGTCTTCCTTTCAATATCTAAAACAATTGCTGAAATGGAGATGAGAGAACGCAAGATAGCTAGGGGTAGTTGACGAAATTCCACCAACAACGCAAACAGAAATACGCCAAGTGATTCTCTTTCGGTTTCGCCGTAATTTACAGCCAATACAGCCTTTAAAGACTATTTCTAAGTGGTTCCGAAGATTTCAGACCGGACATTTTCCAGTGGAGGACAAGCCCCGAGAAAGTCGACTAAAATCTTTCACTGATGACGTCACTGTAGCTGTGGTGAAGTGCAAAATTGACGAAGACCAATAATTGACACAAAAAATGATTGCTGTCTTGAAAGCGATGCCTGTACGGCAAATATTAAGTACACGAAGAAATCTGCTCTATGGGTACCACGAATTTCAAATGAGGCTCGTGTGCATTTTGCTCAAATTTTCCGAAACTAAATCGAAACTGGTCAATCTAGCAACTTAAGTAAAGTCGTTACTGGTGACGAATCTTGGTTCTATAAGTTAAATCCTGAACCAAACAGCAGTCCAGTAAAATCTAAGTAACAAAAATTAACAGCAAAAGTAATGGTGTCATTAAACTTCACCCGATCTACAATCGTAGCTGCTAATCCACAGCGAAAGGGTCAACCGATAACGGTAAAATGATACACCGAAAGGTGCTTACTAGATCTTTTCAAAAATTTGTTAGAAAACAGGAAGAAAGTGGACTTGCCGCGCTAGTTTTTACATCATGATAACGCGCCATCCCAC